TTCTATCAGTGGCTGTATGGAATAAATAAGTCTATCATCGCACCTCCATAAATATAGGCACTTAATTTGTTCTCTTGTTTCTATTTACAGTAAGAAAGACACCGCGTCATTCATTCCATTCTCTGTATCCCTCGGTTACATGATCACTTGCATGCACAAAGTGCTTGTCAGTATTCTGGACTCCGAGCGAAACCACGCGGTGATCATAGTCACGCTAAAGTGCTGCGCCGCGCTTGTCCAAGCCACGCCGTACCATAAGATGAGGGAAGGCTTGATCAGCGAGCTTGTCAGGTCGACGAGAAAGTTTTTGGTGCATAGAGGTAAGAAAGAACAAAGTTTGATAGTAATTCGTCACGAGACAACATTTACCAATACATGGAACCTTTCCAAACGTCATAATCAGTATCAACCCTGAGACATTTACTGCTGGTCACAGGCTTCTCCCAGGCGCTTTAATAGGCCACGATATTAAGCCAGCCATCCCGTACAAGGTTATCAGTCTGGTAGAAGGATGCCCCTATCCTATCCCTATATGAACTACTCAGATAGCCACCAATAGTTAGCTCGTCATAGCTCGTTTATTTAAAGCGAATGATGCAAGCACTTTCTATTACAAATAACAACTCTGTGGTTTGTATCTACTGTACAAGATTATAATTGTTTTTCAGATGTAACACTACAAGTAGGCGCACTAATAACCATGGGATGCGTTCTCTCCGTAGACCCTAAAGTTGACGAAGTTATCAAAGCTATAGAAAAAGACACTGTGCCTTCAAAAATTCTTCACAAACCAATAGAAAATAATATTGACCATGATGAATGTGATGATTTTGAAGAAGGCTATTCCGATGATGAAATGTTTATGGCTGTTGATCACCCTGCGATGAAGAGTGACGAGAGTGATACGAAAGAAGTGCATTATTTTAAGAGTTGGATATTAGATATTTGTTTTAAGAATACGGGATGGGTGTTTCGAGGCGACGAAATAACGGTAAGATATTAGTATCTTTTTGAATCTTCCATACACTATTTGTACTGTAAGAAGGTACTATAAATGACATTTTTTTGCTCCATACTAAGTTTATTTCGTCTTATTTCGTTATTTTGCTCACTCATAATTTTATAAGAACATTCTGTGGTAACTTGCGGATATTTTAAAAATAATAATTATTCAATGGTGGAAAATATTTCATAGCGTGATGAACGTCCTATAGTATGGCCGTTCGAATAAGCCATATTTGACAGCTGTCAAAATCATGTTATTGCTATGGCATAAGGTCTACTTTTCTTTGTTGACGTATATTTTAGTATCGGTTCGACAGCTGACAAATATGGCCTATCCCAATGGCAGTCTTTAACAAAAGTAAAAATTATGCGGAACATAATCTAGATAACATATTTATATAAACGATCTGTGTTAACTTGTAACTAAAAATTCTCTTCACAGCGCTGCATGTCTTCAGCTATCCCCGTCATCCTGGAATCTCTACAAGTACTGTCTGCCATAGCATTCCACCATCTAGCTGAACTGCTGCAGCCGCACCTGCTGCTGCTAGCAGACATCCTCAGCGAGCTGCTGCAGCATGAGAACCAGGACGTGGTGCTGCAGGCTGCCAGGACCGTCAGCATCATTGGAGACGCTATACAGAAGTTAGGTATGTCGGCTATAGCATTCAATTGTAATGCTGAAAAGTAGTTTTTTGTGCAGTAAAGTTGTCAATTCTGTCATAGTGACTAAAACTATAACTTTTTTGTAACGTTTTCACTCACGGTTTGTTTTTGTGGAGATCCTGGTATTTAGATTACCATAGAACCTTAAAAGCAAATACTATCATAGTGGCTGCGAGTCTAGCGTATTCTCTATATGTTTTGTCACTTTAATTGGGCTTTTTTCGGGCAGTATTATTTGCGCCGTGAAATGAGTTATGAACCCCTTTTAATAAAATGCTTATGATTAGTAATCCAGGAAACCAAACTTTATTTGCGCATAGGCAAACGACAGCTGTAGATATCTTGTTTTCTTTTGATTGTTCATGAAAAGAACCAAGTACTAAAATCCGAAAAGTTTAAATAAATAGCTGAACTACGACTAAACCGCGGCCAAAATGACGCCTGAAAACTTTATGACTACGCCTGCTACATAATGTTTGTTTCATCACAGAACAAACGGAAAACCCGCCACAGCTGAACCATTGTGTGAAAATGTGGGAGAAACTGCTCACTCCTCTGTCAATCGCGCTGCAGAGTCGAGACAACCCTCCGGCGCGCGGCATCGTTTGCGATTGTATCGCTAATGTAGGGGAACGGGCTTTCAAGGAACTACCGGTAAGTAGCTAGCAAATGACGACTCTAGATTTCCTGTCTTGTGTTTATTTAAGAAAGTGACAAGAATAAGCTAATGGAATAGGGAGGAAAACTGCTTATTCCTTTGTCAATCAAGCTGCAAAGTCGAGACAACCCTCCGGCGCGCGGCATCGTCTGCGATTGTATTGCTAATGTAGGGGAGCGGGCTTTCAAGGAACTACCGGTAAGTAGCTAGATTTCCTGTCTCTTTTCTTTTGCTTATTTAAGAAAGTGACAACAGTAAACTGAAGAATATTGCGAGGAACTGTGGCAAAAACTGCTGACTCCTGTGTGAATCGCGCTAAAAAGCCGTGGAAAATCTTGGGGGTCTTACATTATTTTCGTGAAGTGGCATTTGTTTCGCTACACTGCATTCTACACTTTCGCAGTTATTTTTTTCCTTTGTTTGCACATCTATTAACGTCTCAAAACGTCGGATACGGATTGAAGGATCCTTACAAAACCACTTTTCGCTCGTCGTTGGGACCTCTGATTTTAAAAATCCAAATAAGCACAACGTTCCATTTTCGTTTCAAATACAAATCCTTCTTATTGTTTTCAGAGACACCAACAAGTGTTATGTTGTGCGTTGCTGGTGGGTTCATGCAGTGATGAAGAACCCACTGTAAGGGCTGCGGCCGTCAGATCGCTTGCTATGACTGTCATGTATCGTACATTAAGACAGGTAAGTTAATTTTTAGGGTTTCGTAGTCTACTAGAAACCCTTATAGTTTCGTCAAGTCTGTCTGTCTGTCTGTCTGTATGCCGCGCCCTCATATCTTCGTCAGTTTTAGAGCTATCGACATGCAATTTAGTGAGAAGATAGATCGTGTTGACCCAAATATAGAAATGTTAAGAAAAATTTATATTAAATGTTTTTTGGACCCCCTCCCATACAAAAAAGGGGGGCAATTTTTTTTTTCTTCTGTAATATTGAGTAGGGTATTGTTGAATAGGTCTTTTAAAACTAAGGTGAGGTTTCTTTGAAACAAAGTCACTAAAATGTTTCTCTCACGAGATATTTGCTTTTAAAAAGGGCGTTTTTGACCCATAATTTGTTCCAGCTGTAACTTCTAAAGTATAAACGCTAAAAATTTGAAATAAGTATGAAATATAGCTTACAATCTGAAGTTACAATGAAAACTATAACGGACATTGTACCCTTAAAGGTTTCAGAAAAAATTGAGTTTTTCTATTTGCGGTTGGTCATCATACTGCTGCTAACAAACCAGCAACAAAATTAAGTTTGTAATGCTGAAAAACCTGATATTTAAACGTTGACTACGAAACCCTATTTGTGGGCGTGTCTGACACGCTCTTGGCCGGTTTTTATATGAATAGTCTGTGTTAAATTGTCTTCACATGAAAAAGACATGACCGGGGCTCGAGCTCGGAAGATTGAAATACTGTTCCACTGTCTTACCAATTAAGTTTTCGAAGTACTAGTTATACATTATCCAGCAATTGTCGATCACTTGATGCTTAACGAAAAAACTACAGCCGCGTATAAAAACTGGCGCAGATAAAGAACATATCCCGAATTGGCAACATCGGCAAAATTATTGTTGACATCCTGCTCAAATATCATAAAATATGATACAGAGGCAAACAATGTTGCCAATTCGGGTATGTTCTTTATCTGCGCCAGTTATTCCTATCTCTTGCTTTTAGCTTATAATTTGCTAAAAAATTGTTCTCTTAGTATGAAAGCACACAAAACACTCACACAACACACACCACGACCAAGAATCGCATTTTTGTTCCAGGATATTGGTTTTGTAAGCGATTGCGGAGAGAATATTCTCCGAGCATTGGCGGAACCGACGCTAGTGGTGCGGACCAAAGCAGCCTGGGCACTAGGCAACCTTAGCGATGCACTCGTCCTCAACATGTAAGGGAATCTATTGGGATCAGTGCTATATTATACTCATAAATGAAAATTAGAAATTGAAAAAAATGTCATGGATCGACCGGGGCTCGAACCTAGGCCGCTTGAAGATGGGAATCAAGAGATTCAAATATTTTGCAGGCATCTACCGGTGCATTGATAGCTCAGAGGCAGAGCGTTGACCCATGTGGCCGGGGTTGCCCCGTTCGAAGCATGTAAATTTTTTCAATTTATTGTTTTTATTTATGTACTTAAGGGAATCGTTATAAGAATGTATAAGTCCATATTATACAAGGATTCTGCTGTGTGGTGGCGGCTTATAATAACATCAGCCCATATCTTTCCCGCGGGTGTCGTAAGAAGCGACTGAAGGATTTGACAGTTTATGTGTATTCCAATTTTACGCGACAGGCTGACAACCTGTCACTATTGTGATAGAGACTTCTGAATGACTCTCAAACTTTTGTCAGACGTGGTGTTAATGACTGTTTTTACAGCCGTTTATGCTCTGCCTATCCCGCAAATGATTTAGGCGTGTTATATTATATTAACTTTATTTTTTTGGTTACAAAGTTAATACAAACGAAGGAAGCGGAAAAAATTGGAGATGGAGCTTTTTCCGATTTGTGAATGTTTACTATTTTGTAGAAATTTTCCACAAGATAGTAATTTTTGAACACTTGGTGTTTTAATCAAACACTAGATATTGCTATTAACTTTTTTTTTTGGTTACAAAGTTAATACAAACGAAGCAAGCGGAAAAAAATCACGCCACCGATGGGATTCGAACCCACGTCTTCTGACAAACCGGGTCAGACGTGTTTGATTGACCGCTACACCACGGTGTTATATTATAGTAGATTTAGGATTCAGAACAATTTTTCTTTTCAGAGACGACCCAGAGGCGGACGAAATAGACGACGATTTATTGTTTCGCCTGCTTGAGGTCAGCATACATTGCGCTACTGACAATGACAAGGTAATTTATGAGTATTTTTTAATCACTACATAGTATAAAATGGAGTTGCTTCTTGCCTCTGTCTGGCGTGGAATTCGCTTATTGTCCTGTTAAATCACGCAACGGATTTTAATGCGGTTTTTCGCGATATTTATATCGTGATTCGAGAGGAAGGTTTATACTGGGAATATGCCCTTTTCCCGCGGAAAAACGAGTTGCAGCGGGTGAAATCGCTAACGGACCAATATTCTCTTTCTATTATTAACGTAGACATTCAGGTTTTACCAGCTGCTACTTTCCATATTATTCGGAGATAATGCATCTTTTTATTAGCTCTAGTGACACCCAAAAACTATCTAATGGGACAGTGGCAAACCAACTCGTTCAATGACCCGATTAACCATGGCGTCAGAGTTTTTCAACCACCGACTACAAGTAGCAGGTCTCTTGACATGTGAAAGAATATTTAAAATAAGTCCTGTAGATTCGGAGATAATCGATTATTTTTTAAATAGAAAATCGAAAATCCTTTTACTCTTGATTTAATTAGTATGTTAGAAAACCAGTAACTCAAACATATGGCACGTGTGGAGGAAGCTTAACATGTTGCAAAAGGAAAGTAATCAAAACGTGAGATCAACCTTAAGCCAATAACATTTCTAATCTATACATAGTATAACATAGTCGCTTTTTGAGTTTCTCTGTGTGTCTGTCGTGGAATTCAAACTCGTCCTAAGCCACGCAAGTTGCGTGGCTTAGGACGAGTTTGAATTGCGTGACGCAACGGATTTTGATGCGTTTTTTGCAATAGATTGAGTGATTCAAAAGGAAGGTTTATATTTATAACATATGCCGGGAAAATGAAAAAGTAATCAAAACGTGAGATCAACCTTAAGCCAATAACATTTCTAATCTATACATAGTATAACATAGTCGCTTTTTGAGTTTCTCTGTGTGTCTGTCGTGGAATTCAAACTCGTCCTAAGCCACGCAAGTTGCGTGGCTTAGGACGAGTTTGAATGCGTGACGCAACGGATTTTGATGCGTTTTTGGAATAGATAGAGTGATTCAAAAGGAAGGTTTATATTTATAACATATGCCGGGAAAATGAAAAAGTAATCAAAACGTGAGATCAACCTTAAGCCAATAACATTTCTAATCTATACATAGTATAACATAGTCGCTTTTTGAGTTTCTCTGTGTGTCTGTCGTGGAATTCAAACTCGTCCTAAGCCACGCAAGTTGCGTGGCTTAGGACGAGTTTGAATTGCGTGACGCAACGGATTTTGATGCGTTTTTTGCAATAGATTGAGTGATTCAAAAGGAAGGTTTATATTTATAACATATGCCGGGAAAATGCCTTTTTCCCAATGGAAAATTAGTTGCAGTGTGTGAAACCGGCAACGGGCTGCTAGTCCAAGAATAATATGGTAACTCGATTGCGCGCGCGTGCATATAATAAAGAGACGTAGATCACTTAATCTTTAATCAATAGTGTCAATGTAAATATCATGATCTGCATTATTACTTGGAAACTCGGTTACAAGGTAATTTTATACAAGGTCTTAGGAAAAGTCTGGTATTCCTTCACCGGATGAACTATGGTCTTACCTATGGTAAATTTTCCTCTTGATGGATGTGTTTCTCAATAATATTTTTCCAATTTTGCTCACTCGATGAGGCAAAGTGATTTTAATTTCGTACATCTAAATATAAATGCAGCATAGTTTAAAAAAAATGTTTTGTTAGATTATTATAGTTTCAACGCGTTTTGTTACCCTACGCTCGTGATTCAATTTTAGTATCTAGCTACCTCGGGAATCAAATAAGAACTTGTAGCCAAATTAAACTTTGCTCTATTGTTGCACACATAATTGTATATAAAAAAATCGCGACAACCACTTCTATGCTACTTTCCAGGTTAAAATGAGTGCCACCAGAGGTCTCGGAAACTTACTAAGGATCATAAACAAAGAGACCATACATCGCAACGCTAAAATGAAGCCGCTATGCGAAGCGGCTATAGCAAAGCTTATGGAGTGCGCATGCAAAGTCACCAATATGAAGGTCCGGTGGAACGCGTGCTATGCGATGGGCAACGCTATGAAGAATGGTGATCTGTTCACGTGTTTTAGTAACTGGCAGGTGAGATTCTTTTTCTGTTTTGTCGTTTGAGGTGTTACGACTCGATGAACCTTGGTGTCAAAAGGTTTAAAAGCCTTTGGGCCTCTGAACTGCCTTTGTAACAACCGCCATCTAAGTAACTATGGATTGGACATCAGTCGTAATCTAAGGTCTTAATCGAGGCTTAGCTCACTTTTTGAACAATCAAAATACGTTGTGTTGCTTCATGGAATGGAACGAAGGAGGATTTTTTTGGTAGCCGAGTGGTAGCGGCTAAGAATTCTGCCTCCCCTGTTCTACTCAGGGTGTTTCGTAAAACGCGACGTAGAGTTTTTGACGATGACTACAATATCTGCCGACTATGGTCAACCGTATGGTAGCGGTAATACCACCTGCTATAGTATCCCAAAGAGGGTTGACGTAGGGAGGACGGACGGTCGTAAAATTAAGCCAAATCCTTTTGCAACATGTTTTTGTGTTCAAACAAAACGTGTTGCGCCGACCCCAAGCAATTGTGATAAGGGCAGGAAGATATGATGTGATGAGCTCTAGTTTTTTTAAAATTTCAGAACCAAGTCTTCCCCAGCCTTTCAACCCTAGCCCAGGAGTGCAAGAATCTCAAAGTGCGTATCAACGCCGCCTCAGCGCTGCGAGCGCCCTCTACCCGGGACCAGTATGGGGACCAATTTGTAGGGGTTTGGAGGGGGATACTAGCGGCCATGGAAAACGCTGCCAATGTCGATGACTTCACTGAATATAAGCACAAGGATAACCTTATTGAACAAGTAAGTCAATGCCAACATTCTAGATGACAGTTATTTAGTAGCGCCATCTATGGAGAAAAACTCGTAGGAGTATGGAGGGGGATACTGGCAGCCATGGAAAACGCTGCCAATGTAGATGATTTCATTGAATATAAACACAAAGACAACCTTATTGAACAAGTAAGTCATTTCTTTATAGGAGTTTGTGTGTTAGTAAGAGCGCCCTCTACCCGGGACCATTATGGGGACCAATTCGTAGCAGTATGGAGGGGGATACTAGCGGCCATGGAAAACGCTGCCAATGTGGACGATTTCACTGAATATAAACATAAAGACAACCTTATTGAACAAGTAAGTACATTATGGAGAATTGTTAGTTAGTAGCGCCCTCTACCCGGGACCAGTATGGGGACCAATTCGTAGGAGTATGGAGGGGGATACTAGCGGCTATGGAAAACGCTGCCAATGTGGACGATTTCACTGAATATAAGCACAAAGATAATCTTATTGAACAAGTAAGTCTATGCTAATATTATAGAGAAAAGTTGATAAGTGGTGCTATGTATCGGAGACCAAAATATGGAGAGTAGGAGGAAACGGAACCTTAGCAGCCATGGTGCACGACTTCACTGAATATAAATAGAAAAAGAACCTCATTGAACAACTAAGTAAGTGCTATAATTGTGTAATTCATTCCCTTTGTAATTATTATTATGGTTAATAAAAATTAACTACTCAAATAACAAGAGTAGGTACGTTTACAAATGCATAGTTACTTATACGATTACTTACATAACGTTTATTACAATGTATTGCAAATATTTCTCGCATCATTTAAATAACGTGTAGTGTAACCGTAACAATAATTGTAACACTAGTAGGTACTTATTGTACCTCTATAATCTGCATAGTATTAAGACAACTTGCCAAACGAGCAACTTTTTATATATAGAATTGACAAAAGAAGAGAAGAAGAAAATAGCGTCTTTATTAGAATTTTTAATATGAAAAGCTTTAGAAGAGTGCCTTACGTTTTTTCCAAACACACGAGTTTCGTCCTTTATAAAATACCCAAAAACTCAATTACTAACCTAATTCCCAATCATTCACTTTTCAGCTCTGCGTAACCCTCGCCCACATTTGCTGCCTTCTAAAGCAGTCTGATTTACCAGACATCCTGGACCCCCTGGTGTTCCACTTCGACTGCGCTAAAGCTCTCTTCAACCAGGTATGAAATAGAATAGTAGTTTATGCAATTGCCTTATAATAAGAGGCTTTAGGATGCGAGTGTCTGTTTATCACACGAGGCGCAGCCGAGTGTGATAATAGTTTGACACGAGCATTCTAAAGCCTAATTATATTGCAATTGCATACACTATTTTATCTACACTTTACAAGAAAAACTATGAAAAATAATTCATACCTCCGCACTTCACTATGGCGATTGCAAGCATATCTACTGAACCAACAATTGAACGACTTTTATACATAAGTAACTTTTTAACTAAACGTTAAAATGGAAGCTCATAAAAACGGAATAACTTTTAAAATTAAAAAGCATTAATCGGTAAATTTTAATTCGGAAAATGATTTGAAGCAAAGATTTAATAATAAATAAGTCCTCATAATTTCAAGTGTCGTCCCATTCTTTGATTGTGTCGTGACACTTGTTTTTTTTATTATCTTATTGATAAATGTCGATATCATAAAGTCAGAAAAAAGTACTTTATGACATCGACATTTTACTTTATGATATCGACATTTTTTTTAAAGGCTGAATGGCTGTAAAGCAGTTGCTTATACATTTGCTTTCGAATTTGTAATAGGAACATTATGTATGAAGTGTAGATAAACATAGTTATGTATGAGACACAGTAATAGTTATTTGTACAAGAGAGCAAAGTTTATGTTTGCTAGAAGTGCTAATCTGAATTTCGATGTAGCGAAAAATACTAAAATCGTGAGCACAGTGAGGGATTTCAAAGCACGAGTTGTAAATAAA